ATGCTCCTCAATGAATAAATATTCATTGGGATTCTGCAAGCTAAAAATAAATCCATACCAGATACATTGATAGTGATGCTTCTATTAAGATATGCAATCAAATATATGCTGGAAAGGATTAAGTACATAAAAAATTCCCCCTATTTGCATTTGAAAGTATGAAAAAATATCAGGAGACACATATATCAGATTTTATTGTATAAAAAAAGTAGGGGGTCAAAATTCTATGGGGGTCATTTTTCAACGTGTGTGGACTCGTAGAATTACTGGTCTGGAATGTTTTTCTACAGTCGAAAAATGACCCTACTTGTCGTAGAATATCGACCGGGGGTCATTTTTCTACGTAGAAAAATGACCCCCTGGTCAATATTTTACGGGGGTCACTTTTGATTTGAACATATTTTATTGATTATACTATACAAATGGGATTGGGCAAAAGTTCTAAAAACTTATTACGCCCGTTCCCTACATATAAATTATACCAAACATATTTACTATTCATATTTACATATTCACTTTTCGTCGTTACACCGGCATTGTGACCCATTGAATGAAAATCACGATATATACCATCGTACCATATCGAAAACTGAGGAACAAGCAGAAAATTTCTGAGCGAGGTTTAACCGGATACCATCGGCAAGTATCAGGGAACGCATGTGCGAGAATGCAAGAGAGTTCGCTCTTAAGACAACTTGCCCATAGAATAATTCGCCTTATTTGAATTAGAATACTACATGTAATATGCCATTCATTGGCAAACCTCGCTTTGAAATCTGCATATTGTATTTATATATTTATTGGTGGATCCAATTTTCTCTCTTATGCATGTACTTATACTTTTATATACAAACTAAACATTGATTCTATGGCACAAGCATTTTAAAAAACAGGAAGAACTTGCAGTATATAGATAACTTAACAACTTAAATTGAAAATCGCATTCATAAAAGATAGAAGTTTTCAGTGGCATTGGTTTTGTGCAACAAGGCTCGCCAGTTTTTTGCTAATATTCAGCAATCCAAATACAGCTTGATAAAAGTCTATAGTAATGTGTTGCATGTGGGGGAGGGGGCATCTCCGAAAAAAAAATTTGCCTACTACAGAGCTGTGCTACACAAGTACCATCAGATCTATTTTCCAGTGTTAGATTTCTTCCGTATAAATCCAGAACAGATGGCAGGTCCCATTTAATTGTTATGGGTTGCGTGTACAAAAATAGTTCGATTTTTTAAAGAAATAACAAAACTACAGGTTAATCAGAGATAAAATTTAACAGTTTTGCTATGAAAGTGCTATCTGTCAAAGTAGATGAATTAGTGTATAAATGTGAACGAACCTACATGACCTATATTCACTAAACCTTGTATTTTTAAATTCAGTAATTGAATTTCGGTTAGAAGCACATGCATGTGATCCACGTACTGCAGTCGTTTTTTAAAAGACAGCAACATGAATTGTTTTACTTCATTTTTATTTCATTTTAGAGCAAAGAGAGCGCATGTATGGCTTCGAACTTTACATTTCAAACACAACTAACTTGCACAACAGGAGATATATGCATCTTTGTCACAAGAGTGATGGAGTTGTTTTACCTAACTTAACCTCATCACATCTTTGTGAATCATTTGGACGGTACGTCATATTCTACAACGAGAGAGTTCCTGGACAGAGTTATCCGCCTTTCAATGGGGTGTTTCAAAATTTTACATTTGTCCAGTTATGTGAAGTAATTGTACACGGTATGTCTTTAAAAAGCAAATATACAGTATTATATTATATCGTTTAAAGTCATCTTTTCGTAGGTTCTATGGCCTATACAATGACTTTGTCAGCTAATACAATTTATCATTGGGTCAAATGCTGACTGACGTTTTTTTTTATACTTATTGTAAGTTCATTGTTCATACCACAGGCACCTGGTTCGGAAATAAATTTTTAACCTATATTATAATAATATTAGTACTATGTTAAAATGTTATTTCCGAAACAAGTGCCTGTGATTCATACACTGGATTGACGACGAATTTTCCAGTTATTTCCCGACCATGACAAGGAGCACACGGCGGGTGTGACCGGTCGGCAAGGGATGCTTACTCCTCAATGATACCTGATCCCACTTCCGATGTTTTGGAGGTCCGTGTTTGCTCTGCTCCTATTTTGTAGTGTTTTATTGAATTTTGATTTACTTTGTTTTTGTAAGTACTATATTTACACTGCAGACACTTTAAGTTGCTCTACCAAAACATTTTCTTATATTTCAAAGGATGTGACGCTGTTGGAAGGTATGGACAGAATTGCTTCGATAGATGCCCTGTTAATTGTCAAGAAAAAAGATGCTACATTACAAATTTTTATATATATATATATATATATATATATATATATATATACATATATATATATATATATATATATATATATATATATATATATATATATATATATATATATATATATATATATATATATATATATATATATATATATATATATATATATATATAGATATAAATTAAATAATAAAAATAACAAAAAATGTTGTTTCATAACATTTTCATTTGTTTAATGATGTATTTCCTTAAGGGGGGACCTATGTCGTTCTACGTCAAAGCAGCGTTATGTGACGTCACAATAGCGACGTTTGTTTTTTTCCGCAGACTTTTGCAACTGTGATTATAGGCATAACATTGTTATAAAATCAAAAACGTACACAGTTTACAACAAGAATTTTTTTTATCATTTATATTTATAACAGTTTTATTTGATTTATGGAGTTTGTTAATATTAGAATTCTCTTTTGGTTGATAATTCATAGCAATTTCAGTCGTAAAGAAATATCTCCATGATATACTGATATAAAAGCGCCAAAAAATATAAGATAAAATTCAGCAAAGAAAGCGCCTAAAATCAGGGAAATTTGTTTAATTTCATGTTTACCATTTATTGTATTTCCTTGATAAAACTAACAAAAAAATCAGAAATGTACTTGTACCTGTATTTATTTATTGATTTATAGTATATGTAGATTTTATTGTATAAAGTCATTCCTAGGTTCTATAAGTGTTGGTTGTTGACGGGGAAATTTGGGGGGGGGGATTAGAATGAAGAAGAAAAGAGTTGATCTGTTTGAATTGTTTCTAATCAAAACAAAATACTTTTTTTTCTCAAAATAGTTTTATATTCAGATGTTTGTCAGTGCTTACTTACCTTTTTTTTTAGTGCAGAAAGGTCAATATTAATGACAAAAGAGTACAAAAATAAAAGAAAACGTCATATTTCTCGTTCATTTTATCATAAAGGTATATTTTTTTCTTTGTTAAAATAAAGAGAGGGGTCATTTCTTTTAAAAAATATGAATTACAACATTTTCACACAAAGACTTTTTAAAATATTACCTGTTATGCATGTCGGAATTGTAAAAAAATACGACAAGAAAAACGGGGTGATACTTACATTGTGCTCATTTATAATTTTTCATGCGCAATGAATTGCAATGAAATTGCCTTCATTTTAAAGATTTAAGTCATATAAATTAAATACCTGTTGATTTCGAATGTGATTTGACATTTTTGGTTCTTTTTAGCGCATATTTGGAGTAGAACAATAATGTCTGAAAATAATCTATTTTTAGCATTTCACACTGTTTTTGCACGTGATCCTGTGTAAAAATGAGCATATAGAGGTATTGTTTTTAATACCTAGAAATTAAGAGCAAGTGGCCAGGAAGGAAATGTCAAAGTTTTGAAAATTTCACACAAAGACTTTTCGGACATAGGTCCGCCCTTAAATGCATAAAAGTGCCCTAATTTTTTTTATACTTAATAAATTTCAAACTAATTTCTTTTCACTACATATTGAACGTCGGAAAACTCAATGCTAGTATTCTTTTTATGAAGATAGCTACACTTTATAAATTTCTGTTGTAAAATAAATAGAGTACGATACATATACTAGAGACTAAAATTGCATGCTGAATACGTACATGCATTCTGAAATGTTATACATGCAGACAGAGAGAATAGATTTAAGGAATAACTGTCTTATTTTTAGATTTCATGAAGTGATCAATCGATTGGCTTGCGTGATAATTTGCATAAACGCCTTCGGCGTTTATGCATAAAATTATCACGCAAGCCAATCGATTGATCATCTTCATGAAATTGAAAAATAAGACAGTTATTCCTTATATTTACATGCTTTGATTCCGCCAATCCACGTGCTCCAAGCCCTGCTTCTGTCTAGCTGTTTGTCCCGCCCTGCACGTGGTTTTTTTTGGAACCGCGCCAATACATTGATAGAGAAATAAAGTACATTTACATTTGGTAATTTTATCTAGGACAAAGACATTGGAAATGTAAATATATACTTGTATATGCTTTTAGTCGGACTGTTAGGCTATAATTCAAAAACTAAATTGTCCACGGATTTTCAAAATATATATCCTGATAATTACAAGAAGCACATGCGAGTGTGACCGGTCGGGGGGCTTTCTTCTTCATGGCACCTGATCCTTCCTCTGATGTTTAGAAATAGGACTGTATTTACTCAACACCTGATTAAATTCAGTTTACTTTTTAAATTGAAAAATGTTCTTCTATATCTATATTATACTTGCTGTTTCAAAATTTCTTTTTATCATGTCAAATAGTGTTGCTAAAAAATTATAGACAATTTCCTATACTGTGAAATCACAAATTTTTCGAGAATTTATCTTTTTTTGTTTTTTGTTTTTGTTTTGAAGGCTTGGAGACACTCATGAATTTAGGATCACCACGTAATTTCAAATTTCATATGCATTACTACTAACCATTCACCATCCACGAAATCATATCCCTACATAATATTTTTCATCAAACCTTGAAAGTTTGACTCCACCAAAATGTGATTTTACAGTACACATATTGACATGCACTAAAAAACATTTTTTTTTATATGAAACATAACGTTTCTTGTCCGAAAATACATTAATTGTATAGGTAATTTTTCCAGAGTGTATCCCAGGAAAATATGGGATTCAATGCTCCAAAACGTGTAGCGGACACTGTTTGGGAGATGCCTACTGTAATGTTACGACAGGGGACTGTGATTACGGATGTGATGCTGGATTTTACGGCAAAAAATGCGATCAAGGTGAAAAATACTGCTTTAGTTAACTGTACATGTATAAGTAAGGATCTATAGTACCATATATAAGCTTTTTAAGGTTGTCGTCTTTTTTTTTTTTTTTTTTTTTTTTTTTTTTTTGCAAATTTGATATTTTTATTCTATGGAGTCTGAATGCTCAGAAAGTATTTTAGATTTAACATGATTCAATTTTTAAAAACTGAATGATTAGAATCACAGTAAACATTTCAGTTATTATTATATAAGTTAATTCATAAAAAAAGTATACATATATTATGAACCTCGGTAAAATTTTTCATGCAATATTTTTTTTTTAATTTCATTTTTATAATTCTAAGTGCAAAAATTTTGGAAGTTACATTTTATGAACTAAAGTGTTTACTAAATGAACGTGAAATACTAGTTTACAGAATTTTTAAAAGATTTCAAAATTTATAATAGTATCTATGTCTTCAGACATTTGTTGACAATTTTTAGGTTGCCACAGTGGACGCTTTGGGGAAAATTGTGAGCAAGTGTGTAGTGGCAATTGCTTTAATAATGAAACTTGTGATATTGAAAATGGAATTTGTTTCCATGGATGCAAAGCAGGTTTTCGAGGAACCTTGTGCCATGAAAGTGAGTTTGTTTCCAATGATTTAACAATTTCATTACAATTGCAGGAATATATCTTGAAAGATTGTAAATGTGTTATTTCAGATTGCAATACTGGGTCCTTTTGTTAATCAAAAAGATCTCTTTAAGATTTGTAATAGTAAAAGGGATGTAAAGAAAAAATCCGCTTGCTTTATTTTGTATTTTTGGTTTATTCATGTTTTCTTAATCGATTCTTTATGTCAAAGCGTTTTAAATTTAAAAATGTCCATTGTATCAGAGAATGTTTCGTCTTAAATTTCATTCATTTAACATAGTTATCATGTAGTCATCTAAATGCGTGTGATTCTAAGTAGTTCAATGGGAACTCTTGTCGATTGGCAAATAATCACGATGGTTTTAATTTCACTATGTTAGCGATTCACCTTTTTTCTGTGAAGTTAAACCCATCGTGAATGCTATTGCTAGTTTTTAAAAAGGTTTAAATGTTAAATGATTTAAATTAATTCCTTACGACGTGAAATTTAAATCATCGCGATTGGTACTTTCTGAGAAATCGTGAAATTTTAACACCGTGGAATTAAAACGACTTACAATATTTTGCTGTAATAATTTTGTGCAAAGCCTTACATTAGCCTAATTGCAAAATTTTGGAAACTAAGAATCTTAAATGTGAATACTTTTGTTCTATTATTAGTATTTAGAGTGTACAGAGGGAACGTATGGTGATTGTACACAGATCTGTAGCGGTCATTGTCGTAATAATGAAACTTGTAACTTTGTTGATGGTCAATGTAAGAATGGATGTACTCCTGGGTATCAGGGATCGAAATGTGAACAACGTAAGTTTGAATATAATTGAAAACATATTGTCGGAGATAACATTTTTTGAACGTGTGAAAGCTGTTGTTAAATAAGAAAGGTAATACTTATATAAAGTATTCAACATTTTGATTTCAGCTCATTTCTCGAGCTCGAGAGACATTATAATTGGTTATGTATTTTATAATTATTTTTCTTCCTTTTAAATGATTAGTATGTAACCCTGGGTATTATGGTCACAATTGCGGCAAGAATTGTTCTAAGAATTGTGATGAGTCGATATGCAACCATATAGATGGGTATTGTAAATGCAAAACGGGAGTGAGAAGGAAAGACTGTTTGACAGGTGCCGCTTACTCTTAATTAATTTTTATAATAATAAAAATTCTGATAAAATTTTTAGATTACTAGTAACTTGATGCAGTATCAACATGTTTGTGTTTATTACATACTGTGCATTATTTTGTAAAATATACCTTTGCATTATTCTATAGTTATGCAAAGTTTAGTTTTATATACATCTGCAGCTGCTAACCTTTGTTATTCTAAAGATTTTACTCAGACCTTATTAAAATAATTATCTATTGTAGGGGTATCAAATGCAAATTTACAAATTCTGGATCTATCGGCAACATTTTTCACCGGACTGTTCTCACTGTGGTCACAGTTATGATCAAATGGTACTTTTCATTACTTACATATAGTTACATATACAGGTCCGTGCATTTTTACACTCACATGGTTTTTTGCAAGAATTAATGTCACTTTATCACAATACAAGATGTTGTAAAAGGCAACAAAATAATTTTAAAGTGCTTTAAAACTTAATTGTAGCTTTATTTCACTAACCTAAAATATAATTCACACATTAACATTGGTAGAATTTACATATTCTCTTGGCTGATATATTATGACTGTTTCCAAATGCTTTTCATGGTTTCTCGTCTAAAGCTGCTGTAGTTCTCCGTTCTTTTGAAAGCAGTTATTTGCCTTGCCTAGATATAGACACATTAGAGTTCCCGTAACTTGTATATTCTGAACATCAACATGTCTCTTAAGCACAAGATATCGATGATTACAGTATTTCTTATTTGCTTTCCATGTTAAGATGCTGACATTTTTTTTTAGAGTTATTGTCTTATCATACAGATGTAACATCAAACCATACATTGGTAAAGCCCCCATTAAAATATCGACTTTGAAAACATACGATAATGATTTTAAAGAGCATATAACTTTGTCATGAGATATATAATACATATATATATATTAAGATTCTTTAGTTTTATTACAAGAAAAATACTATCTTGCTTTGTGCGGAACTGTTCGGCCGTTATGGCATAATTGATATTCCTGACGTCACATCAGACATCCAGGGCTGATACGGACCCAGCAGGACTGAAAAGGATTAGTTCCTAGTAGTAGATTAAATTTAACATAGTACCTAAAAATCCATATTTTCTGTTCAAATTCCCTTAATGCTTAATTACTCATCTGTGAAATAATAAACTAGGTGTCAGCAGGTGATGCATGGTTATTAATTTGTAGTTTTCACAACTTAATTTGTGCTGTATTTCATTGTTATATATGTTATGAACGTAATAAAATAAAAAAAAATCCAGTACATATTCTTTCTCGACCCAAGACACCTTTACCAACCCTAGAGCCGATGACAAATGGCTGATATTGGTGTATAAGACTGATAAAGTATGTACTGTGAAAAAAGGCATTTTCTCTATGTATAGAATACTTTATATATAGTATTTGACGGAATTTTTTTTAATTTGCAGGTAACATCAATGTTCAATGGGGTTATTAACAAGTTTTAGACTGCATCTTTACATTGAAAGAATGCTCCCGCTGACATTGAAGTTTGAAATATTTTTGAAAGTTTAGTGAAAAAAAATAACGATGGGTGGGAATAATGCAAATTAGATAATCATTATATTGTTGCGTTTGATTTCTTTATATTTCCATTTCTATTTTTTCTTTGTGATAACTCTTTGAAAGTTGTCGGAGTTTATTTCTCGATAATTCTGCATGAATGAAATTAGGCAGGTCGATGGGTCAGGAGCTAAGGAGGCCTAATATGCATGCAAATCTAGTGCGCATCTATCTCTGTGTATGACGCTAAGGAGGCCAAATATGCATATAAATCTCGTGCGGCTGCCCCTGTGTTTGAGGTCAGCGAGCGAGGACTATTGAAATTGGCATGGAAGTCCTCAAGTATATTTAAGTCTATGTCAACATTTTTAAAGTCTAAATCTACAATTTTATTTCACAATAATGGAAATATAAGGAATCACTGTCTAGTTAGTATAGTATGCCAGGGACATCAACGCCCGTTATGCAAATTATCCCATGTTTCCCACTATCGTTGATGCCCTAGCATAATATACTAACTAGACAGTGATTCCTTAAATATGATTATGTGATTTCTAGCCTAACGTGAATTTGTGGCATTTAGACCCAATACATCAATGTAACAATATGTCTTGTAAAATGCAGTGCAAATAAAATTCAGTATTTTGATATGATATTGTCAATGTTGTTAATTATTCTCTCATTATCAACTGTGCCTTATTACTCCGTAGCAGTTTTCGTTTTAAGTCACTCGAAAAACCTTGGAAGAATCTGATCGATTTCGTTTCAAACCATTAAATGACGCAACATTCAGGCATGTTGTAGAGAAACTTTTTAAATTGAATTAAGGAATAACTGTCTTATTTTTCGATTTCATGATGTGATCAATCGATTGGGTTGCGTGATAATTTGCATAAACACCGAAGGCGTTTATGCATAAAATTATCACGCAAGCCAATCGATTGATCATCGTCATGAAATTGAAAAATCTGACAGTTATTCCTTATACTTACATCACCCCAACTAATGTTATTGTGATTTAAATTCAAGACACGTGGTTTAGGTTGATCTATTCAAAGGTTATAGGATAGAACCGGTTTTAAAAATAAAACTGGTAGTAAACATGATATTGCTATAGCTTGTTTCTTTATTACATGTCCTGTAATAAATGTTTCCAGACCTTTCTGAAAGACTTTCATAATTTTCAACAGAAAAAGGGCGGCTAAAGGAAGGGGTGTTAAAAGAACAATATATCTTATACTTCTCGGCGAAAATTAGAGCTCACTCGTGACCAATTCGATTCGCTAGTAAAAATTGTGAATTATCATCTACACTGACAAACCTTTTATATAGCTGTTGTTATAAATGCGCACAGAGGATCTTACCGCGAGCAACTGACCAATCGTTGAATGAATCGCAACGTTTACGCCAAATACATGTTTACATTTTACTTCAAATACGTAGTTCAGGTCAATCAATGATCATGTCAATAGACTGCAAAATAAAAAAAAAATGTTCTTACGAACAAAATACAAAGATAAGAAACTATGAAAGATGTTACAACCGTTTTTAATTTGTTGTTAACAGAAAAAAAACGTTTAATAAAATGTAGTTTGTGTCAGTTCAGAACACCAGCGCTTCAAGGGTAAGGAAAACGAGCATCATCTCTTATGCATTTAAGTGGACAAAACTTTCTTAACGTTCGTGATCACGTGTTCGGCCAGGGAAACCACCTGGCAATTGTATTCACCGATAGTACAACAAAGGTATTAATACAGACGCAAATCGCTTTTGCAGTACGACTTTCAGAAACCTAGACTTCCATTGTTTATTTAACAAATGAATTGTTTGTCATTATGAGCATGAAAATAATATTTTTAAAAATGCTTTTCATTTACCATAAAATTTTCCTTTTTTTCAAGCGTAAAATTCCTGTAGTATTCGTACGTAGTAACCCATAATGCAATACTCATTCAGCTGATTGGTCAGTTAAAATCATGCTGGTCATGCCGGTGCCTCATTTGCTAATCTGACGCCAAAAAATATAGTCTCGGTTCCCTTGCAAAAATATTTGTCCAAAAAGAAATTTTAATTCATGACTGCAGAAAATTGTGTTATAGAGAATACATTGTACTTATTTTAAGTTTGAATGAATGTAAGAGAGGTCGATTGATTGAAGTACAAATGTACATTTCTACAGATATTATAAGCTGATTCTAGGGTGGTGAAACCTGAAACGCAACGTAACTTTTCTGTTTATCATGCCTCCACGTGCTAGTCACTTCCTAGCCACATTTCCGTGAATAATTTACCCTATCTCGCTGAGGTCTCGCTAACTCTCGCCAGAGCCGCTGTCAGAGCTACTCTGAACTCATCGGGTTTTACAATTTGCAGAACACCGAACAATAAAAGGTTCCGAACACATTAGCAGGGGTGCACATGCTTTGATTCCGCCAATCCACGTGCTCCAAGCCTTGCTTCTGTCTAGCCGCCCTGCACGTGTTTTTTTTGGAACCGCGCCAATACATTGATGGGGAAAATAAAGTACATTTACAATTTGTAATTTTATCTCGGACAAAGACATTGGAAATGTAAATATTGAGCTTTAAAGTCCATTGAAACAGTACATATTCGGAACAACATCAGAGATGGGATCGAGGACCATGGAAAAATAGCCAGTCTTACCCGCTGTGTGCTCCATGTACGAGGAAATGGAACGGCCCAAATTAATTCTATATGAAAATAATGGCCTAACATCTTTGTGAGTTTGCCATTAACAGTTGATTAATACAGTATATTAAACTAGTAAAATATCCAAAGAGTAATTGAAAGTGTCAGTCTACAACGTGTTATTTTTGAAGTTCAAAGGAAAATATATATGTAAAAGAATGAGTGAAATGAAGGTTGTTAATTGATATTTTCACCAAAAGTAAACAATAGTTCATGTTTTTATAATGGGAAAACAGACACCATGATCAGTGGTCATAATTACTTCGTTTCTAAAAACGCTGGCCACCTTTCCATATTAAGGTAAAGGTGCATTCATAAAAAATGGTCATCAACGAGCTGCGCCATGTTTGAAGTGTTTTACAAAGAAACGTCGGCGCTTGACATATTAAAATCAGTCCCAAACTAACAAGATATCAGATACATTGTAAACTTTGAATGACAATACAAACCTACTTGACGAAATGTGGACTCCCTAGGGCTTGTTATCTTGAACATCGTCAAGAATAGTGATAACTTTAAGGTAATCTTTAAGACAGACGAAATTTGAAATTCATACCATTACTTGTAGGGAAAAAAATTCCAACAATTATAATTTAGATATAATATTTCCTAAAATCACCAGCACAAAATATATTATATAAATATTGCATGTAGTTGAGTGTAACATTGGAAATTTTCACCCCAAGAAAACCATTGTCAACCGAGGCGCAGCCGAGGTTGACAATGGTTTTCGAGGGGTGAAAATTTTCAATGTTACACTCAACTACATGCTATATTCATTATATTATTCTGAATGTTTTATGCAAATACATATAACAGTGAACCGTGCGCGCATAAATTCTGCGCAGTCGCTATTTTTTGGAATATCACCCGTCGTCAAGCAATGTTGACTGTTGCTACGCCGGAGGGCGTGGCTTCATTATTCAGCAGGTAAAGTGTTTTTTAACAAATGTTTCTGAACCAATCAGATTCAACTAATTTACATGAAAGTCCATAATTTTATAATGTTGCTTCATAAGTAAGGAAACCTGACAATAAAAAAGTTTAAGTAATCACGTTAATCACGGCATTTTGTTGTTGAAGTTACTATT